AAAAAGTTTTTTTTTTTTTTCCTCTTTCTATAATTAGTATAGGGATGTGGACTCAAATAAATGGGGTTGCGTCAAGTTTCCAATACTTGCCAAGAGAGAAAGTGGATTTAGAAAAAAAAAATGCTGATGCAGAGGTAGTCAACACTGCCTGTTACAGAATAAAATTCTTACAAGGTATGGATCATTGATTAATCCATCTTAAAAATAATTGTAATTATTTGTATTAAGTGGATGTTTGTATGCAGCCATGTATCATGGTAACTCAGTGATACAGTCAGTAGAAGAGTCAGGAAGGAAAGTACAGATTGATAAATGACTTCTAGGTTGATTCATCACAACGAAGACGGGGACATTTTCAAAATGTCTCCTTTTACACAGATGAACATCAGTTCCATCAGTCAGAGTCACAGAACTTTTTGAAACTGTCTGACCATTACCACAGACTCAGATAAGACAGGGACGAGTGTAATGGTTACATTTATATGCAATGCTTCTGCTCCAAAGAGCTCAAGATACAGTGTTGCTGAATTCTTGAATACTTCATTAAGCAAAACGAGCTCCAAATATTATAAACTTTGGTTGATTTAAAAAAAAATTCAAATTCCTTCTTGAAAGAATCCAATCACTGAAATACACTCTAAGGACAGCATTTTCCGCTATATAAAATTTTTAAAGCTGTGGCATGGAAAGACTGTATCATGAAACAACATTTAATTATTCTAGAAAGAAACATCATGTGGCCCAAGCATAAGATTCATGTTGACTAGCTCATTTCAAGTATTACTGAATTTTATTTTAATATGGTACAGGAGACACAATTTGGGATACATGCTTAGTTCATGAGGTCCCCTTTTCTAAACACTGCCCCTCCAACCTTCCCCCCCACATGCAGAGTGGGCTCAGCTGCAGCTCTGTGTGCTGTAGGACCCTGCACCCCTGGCCACAGCTGCCCCAATGGGGGAAGCCTGGCCCAGGCCGAGCCAATCATCTATCACTGAATTTCTTGAAATTCCATGATAGTCTACGCCAGTCAACCAAAATAAGAGGGCACAGGAATTTTAGTGGTGGGGATAGCCATGAGCACAATGAAGAGAGAAAGTGTGTTTGTAGAGAAGAAGAATGGCCAATGCCATCCATTCCTGCTCATAGTCTTTGCGAGGTCCAACGGCACTGACAGTTCTCAGGTTCAATGAGTTATCTTATATGCTTATTATTGCTTTTATGATTTCGATGTTTGTTTAAATTAGCTCCACATAGCTTTTCCTTTCTTGTTCCAAAAAATAATTGACTGAGATATATATAGCTATCCTGAAGCAGTGGGGTGAAAATCTCCAGTTATTGTCACTCTTTCAACAAAAAGATAACAGTGGAGCATGTGACTGTAGGGTTAAGTCCTCATTTAATCTTGTTGATAGGTTCTTGGAAACTGGTACTTTAAGTAAAACATGTATAATAGAACCAATTTTACCATAAACTAATTGAAATAAACAAACGTTAAGTTCCTATGGCATATTTCTGGTTAAAAAACATCACCGAATTTCTAAATAAAGACTCAAACACTTCTAACATTAAACACTGAAATAAATGTGGGCTATGCATATGTTTAAGAAAGATTGATAAAAACAGGTAAGAAAATTATTTACCCAAATTTTGGTAAATCTGTGAGTGACAGTGGTTGTCATAGTGGTGGCTTAAATCAAGGAATAAATGTTTGCAAAGCAAAAATTGTCAGCTGCACCTTCTGCCACCATGCAGTTCAAAAACAAAGAGTAACAAACACGGCGTGCTCGCTGAGCACTTTTCCTACAGCATCGCGTATTGCCGTGCATTTGTATGATTATCGTAGACTTTTTGAATGTTCATTTTACAATAATTTGCCTCCATGCATTCATTTATTTTCCAACCCACTTATTTCAGTTCAGGGTCATGGGTGCATGCAGCCCATCCTGGCAGCTCAGGGTGCCAGGTGGGAAATCACCTTGGCTGGGGCACCATCCCATTGCAGGGCATACCCATCCCCCACCCCACACTCACTCACACTAGGACAATCCAGACACACCAGTTCACCTAACATGCACATCTTTGGCATGTGGGGGGAAACCAGAGTTCCCAGAGGAAACACACACAGACATGAGAGAATGTGCAAATTCCACACAGACAGTGGCCTGCCACGAATTAATTTTTTTTTCCTCATCAGTGTTATAATGAAATGATGTGGAACAAATTGATACTATTCAAGGACCTGCTGCATTCTTTTCCCTGAAATCATGGTTCTTCCCTTGTAATCTAATTTAAGAGTATTAAGAGATCATTATAGGCCTAGCCTGGGGGCTCAGGCCTGTAATCTTAGCCTTTTGGGAGGCTCAGGATGGAGGATTGTTTGAGGACAGGAGTTCAAGACCAGCCTGAGCAACATAGCAAGACCCCATCTCTACAAAAAAATAGAAAAATTAGCTGGGCGTGGTGGCACACACCTGTAGTCCTAGCTACTCCCAGGAGGCAGAGGCAGGGGGATTGCTTGAGCCCAGAAGTTTGAGGTTGCAGTGAGCTATGATCACACCATTGCACTCTAGCCCAGGTGACAGAGCAAGACCCCATCTCAAAATAAATAAATAAAAGGTATCATTATGTCTGCACAATAATTTTATGTTGACAGATATAGAGTAAATGTGAAATGTGACCTGCGCGCTTTATTGTCCCTGTGTTTATCCAATGTTGGAACTAACAGAATGTAAGTTAAAGGGTGTCACTCTCACCTAAACGTGCTTCAGGCTAACTGAACATGGCTTGCCATTCACTATCTTACAATTTACCTGCTAAAGACTGTACTGAAAATCTCAATATCTAGGTTGCTGTTTACATTTCTATTTCCAAGCTTTAAAAATGTTAGAACCATCTTATGAACCATCTTAAGACATTATCACCATGTAGTTATGATACATTTTTAGCCAAAATGTTATTATCCCCAAATTTAACCAACTATATTCATCCTATTTGACTGTTCCAACACTTCAAAAACACTCAGAATACAGTTTTCTAGCATTAATTCCTGGCATTAACTGATAAGATATGATATAGTCTCTGAAGACAAGTCCAAAAAGATTTAAAAGTATTTTCAACATTATAATAAATACATCAAATTGGCCACTTTGAAAAAGACAATGAAATAAAATGTTTGGCACTTTAAAAATCAGTGATGTTACTAGCCAGTCACATCTTTCATATCAACTCAAAACATTGGTGTATTTGAACTACCATCTTCTTATTTTCCTT